GTTTCTCTTTCTTTTTTCCTGTTTTAAAGGACATTTGAGACATTATATCATTTATTTGATACATAATTCCACATGCATTTATAAAAGGTCATTTTCTAAGTCTGTGCTATGGCTCAGCGGGTTAACTGTTGTCTGCAGTGCTGGTATCCCATATGGGGGCTGGCTCGAATCTCTCCTGCTCCACTTCTGATCCAGCTTACTGCTAACACACCTGGGAAAGCAGTGGAGGATGGCTCAAGTGCTTGGGCCCCTCCACCAACGTGGGAAACCCACAAGAAGCTCCTGGCTCCTGGCTTTGGACCATTCCAGGTCTAGCCATGGCTATTCTGGGGAGTGAACCAGTGGATAGAAGCTCTCTCTCTTCCTGTAAATGCAGCCTTTCAAAGAAATAAATAAATCTTTTTTTAAAAAAAGTTATTTTCTTGCACAGCTATATGCCATTATCACCTCTAACAAAATATCATTTTCTTAATATTATCGAATAGCTAGCACATATTCAAATTTCCCTGATTAACATGACTTATTAACCTCATTATCACATAAAGAGGGATTCTTATTGTTTAAAAAAAAAAAAAACAGGAAACAAAGTGGCTGTAGAGTATTTTTATGTCATTAGATGGCTTAATGGCAGAACTTTTCCCCCTACCTATTAATGTGGCCAGATAGGTTCCCTGATGCAGAAGCACAGATTATTAGTGTTGGTGTCTTGCTGTCTATTTCCAATGTATGTATCCCTAGGGAACTCATATATTACTTCCCACTCTCCACCCAACTTCCCATATGCATTTTTTTTTTATTTGACAGGTGGAGTTATACAGTGAGAGATAGAGACAGAGATAAAGCTCTTCCTTCCGTTGGTTCACCCCCCAAATGGCCGCTATGGCTGGCGCTGTGCTGATCCGAAGCCAGGAGCCAGGTGCTTCCTCCTGGTCTCCCATGTGTGGGTGCAGGGCCCAAGCACTTGAGCCATCCTCCACTGCCTTCCCAGGCCACAGTAGAGAGCTGGACTGGAAGAGGAGCAGCTGGGACTAAAACCTGGCACCCATATGGGATGCTGGCGCTGCAGGCAGATGATTAACAAGTGAGCCATGGCGCTGGCCCCCTCCATATACATTCTTATTTGATCTAATACATTTATCAATTAAGCTACTGATCTGTGAAATTAGGTAGGCTTTTGTAATGTGAAAACTTCCCTTCTTGGGACTTGGTTGTGGCACAGTGAGTTAAGTCACCACCTGTGATGCCAGCATCCCATATGGTCACCGGTTTGAGTCCCAGCTGCTCCACTTCCCATCCAGCTCCCTGCTAATGCACCTGGGAGAGCAGCTGAGGATGGCCCAAGCCATATGGAAGATCTGAGGAGAGTTCTAGCCTCCTGGCTTTGACCTGACCCAAGTCCAGCTGTTGTGTGAGTGAACTAGAAGAAGGAAGATCGTTCTGTCTCTCCCTACAGTTCCCTCTGCCACTTTGTCTTTCAAATAAATAAATAAATCTTTTTTAAAAAGAAAGGAAAATTGTCCTCCCTGTATATTTTCTGTGGGCCTCTTCTGGGTGAATCTGAAGCCTGCTGCAGGGTGGAGGAAGGACCTGTAAGAAGGGGTGTAAAGGGCAGTGAGCTGGAGGGGACAGGGAGGAGAGCTGTGAGGGGGAACAGGGCAACTAACACAGGCAAAGTCTGAGACACACGGAGCAGGATCCATCCCACCTTATAAGAATAAGAAAATGCATAGCATGGAAACAAACCAAAGTAGCACAATCACCTTCAAATAAGGAAAGCATAATGGGTCCTGTTTTCTTATCACCCAGACTGAACCACTGATAACCTTGTTTTGATCTCAACTTTTTTTTTTTTTTTTTTTGACAGGCAGAGTGGACAGTGAGAGAGAGAGACAGAAAGGTCTTCCTTTTGTCGGTGATTAACTCTCCAATGGCTGCCGTGACCGGCGCACAGCGGCCGGCGCACTGCGCTGATCCAATGGTAGGAACCAGGTGCTTCCTCCTGGTCTCCCATGGGGTGCAGGGCCCAAGCACTTGGGCCATCCTCCACCGCCCTCCCGGGCCATAGCAGAGAGCTGTCCTGGAAGACGGGTAACCGGGACAGAATCTGGTGCCCTGACCGGGACTAGAACCCAGTGTGCCGGCGCCACTAGGTAGAGGATTAGCCTGTTGAGCCACGGCGCCGGCCGTGATTTTGCATCTTTATCTCCAGACTATGCTGGGGAACTGGGGGAGTGGGGGTAGGGAAGAAGTGAGTCTAGAAGTGACTGGGTCTGTGCTATTATTCTGGAAGCGCCAGGTTATGCCACTGGAATGCTGAGACCTGTAAATTATTTTCCTAGATTATTTCCAAGGCTGAGCTAGCACAACACGCAAAACACCCGGAATTCAAATATTGGTTATATTACAGAACTAGTATATTCAGGCATGCATTTTTACCTTTTCTAAAACCTGGATTACTACATGAGTTTTAGATTTTCTGCCTAATTGTGGATTAACTTTCTTTACTTTTCCCCATAGATATAACAATTAAATATTGTCACACATCAGGCTTATGATTGTTGTACAGATGCATGCAAAATGCTGTGTATGCACAATTCTGAATATTTTTCTTGGGAGAGAGCCCAGAGTTTTCATCATTTTCTCAAAGGAGAAAAGGAAAAATAAAGAATCTTCGACATGGAAAAAGCTCTAAGGGGTTAAAGCTGTGATGCCTACAGGGCCAGGATGAAAATATAAAAGAATAAAGTGGACAAGGTATTGAGCAATAGGGATGGTAGAAACTCTGGCATCCCCAAATGCATTTGGTCTACTTAAATGGAATAGCTGTTCCTGGCTCCAGATGGAGACCTGGCCCTAGTGTTCGCAGATCTTAATTCTTTCAGAGAAAGTAGAAATCTGGATATTTACATGAAATATTACAAATTTCAAATGCTGATTATAATTTAACAAATAAACAGACATTAAATAGGTCTCTCAGGCCACTAGGCTTAAAATAAACCAGGCATTCTGAAATATAATTAAATACATAAATAACAAAATTAAATGTTTTCTTTAGGTTTCCAGTAAGTCAAGAACACTAGGATCATTTAAGAACAAAGCTCCCAAGAGCTTCCGGACTGACCAGAGTTTGGCATTTGGGAAGTTCAACGGTCAAATGTGACAGCTCTCCAAACAATGCAGTTGCAGAATGAAGCAGATCCTGAAACCACACCTCCCTACCCCCTTCCCCCACAATGTCCAGGAGTCAACAGATCAGTGCCAGTGGAAAAACAAGTTCTAGAAGAAGACATATGCAGACTCCTAACTGTATGATTACATAAAATCTTGATTTTCAAACAGGTTATCAAAGAAGGAGGTACCTTTCTCTGAAGGGAAGAGAGAACTTCCACTTTGACTACGACCTTGTCTAAATATGATCAGAGTCGGTGAACTCAAAAGGCTTCCATAGCCTTGGCAACTCATGACAAGAGCCTAGGGTGATTACTGATGCCATAAACAAGAGTGTCAATTTGTTAAGTCAATAATAGGAGTCACTGTGCACTTACTCCTCATGTAGGATCTCTGTCCTTAATGTGCTGTACATTGTGATTTAATGCTATAACTAGTACTCAAACAGTATTTTTCACTTTGTGTTTCTATGTGAGTGCAAACTGTTGAAATCTTTACTTAATATATGCTAAATTGATCTTCTGTATATAAAGAGAATTGAAAATGAATCTTGATGTGAATGGAAGGGGAGAGGGAGTGGGAGAGGGGAGGATTGCGGGTGAGAGGGAAGTTATGGGGGGAAAAAGCCAATGTAATCCATAAGCTGTAGTTTGGAAATTTATATTCATTAAATAAAAGTTAAAAAAGAATCTTGATTTTCAAGCTGACAACACTAGTGATGGCCATGTCACATCTTAACAGCTGCCAGAATTATGCTAAGTATAAGAAATGCAACAAATGCCGTTTTGTAGACCAAATTAATTTTTTCTACACGAGGAATCTTGCTGTTTACAGGCACCGTGCAATATAATGATCAATAAGAGAAAAGTCCATTTCCAAATGCAGTTGTGTCACAAGTTCAGGTGTTAAAAATACTAGCACAGGGGCCAGCACTGTCGCGCAGTGGGTTATTGCCCTGTCTGAAGCGTAGGCATCCCATATGGGCACTGGTTCTAGTCTCGGCTGCTCCTCTTCCGATCCAGCTCTATGCTACGGCCTGGGAAAGCAGTAGAAGATGGCCTAAGTACTTGGGCCCCTGCACCCACGTGGGAGACCCGGAAGAAACTTCTGGCTCCTGGCTTCAGATCAGCACAGCTCCGGCTATTGCAGCCATTTGGGGAGTGAACCAGTGGATGGAAGACCTCTCTCTGTCTCTACCTCTCTCTGTAACTCCTTCAAATAAAGAAAATAAATCTTTTAAAAAAATACTGGCACAATCCACAATTAACCATTTGCTACAGCACCTGACTCTTGGTCCCCATGGCAAATTTCCAGGGTGAATAAGAAGCAAGCTCTGAGTTCCATGACGGGTGGAAGTGGGCGGAGAGGATAAGCAGAGAGAACTGAAGACAGAGGCTGAGGGGTTCTTAGGAGTGCAGGCGCAGTTGAGAAATGAATGAGAAAACTTCAGAAAACACAAACAAAATCGACAGCCACATTTTTCCTCAAGACATGAGCTGAAATTTCAGTGACAACTATGCCTTTTTTCTTCCTTCTGTGCCCTAGATAGAATTGTATTTATAACATGTTTGAAAGTGGCACCTTCCTCAAAAGACATCAGATGCTGATAAGGAAGCTTGGAGCAGTGGTGGACACTGCTACAGACACAAATGACAGAAACATAATATACACTTTCCAAGTGAGGAGTGTGTGTGCGTGCGCACATGTGTGTGTGCAAGAGAAAGACAGAGAGACATGCCCCCAAGGTATTTCGTTTTTCCAAAATTAGAAAAGAACAACTTGGGAAAGTTCTCTTTAAATAACCATAGAGAACACCAGTTTTCTCAAGGTACCTGTAATCATGCTGGATACAATTAATGGCAGAATGACGAGTTTCAGCATCCTCATCAGGATTTCTCCAGGAAAAGCAAAGTAGAATTTATCCAGAGTTGAGAGATTGCTGTATTCTCGAACCAAGACTCCTATGACAATGCCTAGGAAAAATAAGAGTTGAAAAGAAGAAGAAGAAAAAAAAAAACACTGTTGAGTTCTCCGGCATAAATTTCAGTGGCAAAATACTCCAAATGCACAAATTTTAACAGCAAGAAAGCAAAAGTTTAGAACTCCACAAGTCTATAAAATTTAGGTTTAAAAAATACCCACATTTTGAGAGGTAGCCAGTAGAAAGTACACATTGTTTGGTAAATCTGAAAAAATATTCTTGACATGAGAATTTTTGCTTTCATTTCTTCCCTATCAATTATATTTATCTTAGTCAATCAAATATAAGTATTTTGTTTTTACATACCACTTTCATTCTTTTCTACTTGTGGAAATATTTTACTATAATTTACATATCAGTTTTTCTCATATTTCTATTATAAGTACTCCTTTAATGATCATCCTTACAATAAATGCTCTTCCCTGGTTATACAAATTTTATCATTTTAACAGGAAAATATACTTTCTGATTTATTTTCCATGTTATCTGCCAATTTTGTTCTCTAATGCTTTGTATTCTTTTCAGTTATTTCTCAATAACAACATGTTCAAGTTTATGTGATCAAGAGACTTTTTATAGTCTGATCCTAAGGATCTTGTACATTGAGGCTTATAATTATTTGAGTAGGGACATGTTCACCATCAAGAAAGGTTATATGTTCTCTGAAAAAGCCTGCCTTAACTAGAATCCTATACAAAATCTTTGAGTTATATAGAGAACACAATTTAATGATGACTTTGATAACTAAAAATCACAAATTCTTAATATTTCCTCTTCATCCTGTTCCAAATAGTTCTAATAACATCTAACTACTGCACCCTTCCCGCCTGCTAACACATACTCCCCTTTTTAAAAACTAAGAAATAAATGAGCTGGGATGGCTTTCACACAAATTCCCCTTCATCAGCCTCTAGTGGGTAACATGGGAACTGGAAGAGAAATGGCTAAATTGTGGGGAGATTCAACAAGGATATCATCAGATACAGGAATTCACACACTCAAGCAGCCTATAGTCTGAAAATTCAGAGTTGTTTTAGCAAAGTTAAAAACCACTAGGGCAATGGAAAGACACTTGAAGTATAATAAATACTAGAATTCATACTTCATTGTTTGTCTAGAAATTTCATCTCAGATATATTTCCTATGCTCACTAGTGGACCAAAAAGATGAACTTGGTTAAGATGCACTGAATAATAACCTTACCCTTAGCTTAACTTTATTTTCCTACATATTCTACCTTGTCGTTGATCTCTGAATTTCATGTACACACTACTCAGTGAATTTCTGCACTGTGAATGCACAATTTTAAATCACTGTTGAAACAACCATAGGCATGCAAACATTTCCCAAATTGCAGCAAAGACAAAGGCAAAACGACTCTATTATCAATCCTACTTGGTTTGTATTTTTAAAACCTAGGATTAGAGACTCCTGAATGGTTAAGAACATCAAGGACATAAATATAGTTTAACTGAGAGGCACGATGCACTCACTTCCTGCTTTACCAATTGCCTGTGTTCAGCTGTTCCGTACAAACATACCTAAATTATGCCATCAGGATGCTCTGTAATGCTCAGGGTTTCAAAAATCAAACACTCGGGGCTGGCACTGTGGCTCAGCAGGTTAAAGCCCCAGCCTGCAGCACCAGCATCCCATATGGGCGCCGGTTCGAGTCCCAGCTGCTCCACTTCCAATCCAGCTCTCTGCTATGGTCTGGGAAAGCAGTAGAAGATGGCCCAAGTCCTTGGGTCCCTGAACCTATGTGGGAGACCCAGAGGAAGCTCCTGGCTTCAGATCAGCTCAGCTCTGGCCATTTCGGTCATTTGGGGAGTGAACCAGCAGATGGAAGACTTCTCTCTCTCTCTCTCTCTCTCTCTTTCTCTCTCTCTCTCTCTCTCTGGCTCCCTGGCTCTCTGGCTCTCTGGCTCTTTCTTTGTAACTCTTTCAAATAAAGTAAATCTTAAAAAAAAATCAAACACTCATTTTTTCTTATACTATTTAGGTTGCTTCCAGTAAACTGGCTTGTATGTCGAAGAAAACTCAGTAAGTGAAAATAAAAATGTGTCTCTATTCCCAAACAGCCCCAGGACACTCTGTTGAGTGGCAGAATAACCCCATGTGCCCCCATCTCAGGGTTTAGATTACAATGATTAACTCTTCCTCTAGTCATCTCCACTCCAAATGAATGCAGGGCTTTTAGAAATAAATGTACTTGCTATTGCTGTTGTTTAACATTCAGCCAGATAAGACTTTTTGCAGAAAAAATAAGAGTTGCCATGCAGAGCAGGCTGAAAGCAATGTGGGGTGACACACACAGTAAACAGGTTACTGTACTAGGCAATTAAAAGTTTGTAAAATACGCTGTTGTTGAGTACCTCAAACTGTACCCTAGGGTTTCTTTTTTTTTTAATTGGAAAGAAAATAGAAGCACTGAAATATCAACGAAGTGCTGGAAAGTGGGGCGATTCACATGGCACCCTGGCACCCTCAAGTGACTGTCGTCACCCAGGAGTTAGATGCCTTGTAAATGGATATGCTATCTCTTGGTCTCAAGCAAGTTTGGAAACACACGGTTCAGGACAAGGAAATCATGGGACGATTTTCCAGTTCCCAAGAACAACCCTTCTCTGCCTACTGAGAGAGTCAGAACCTTGGACAGGATTAAGATGCCTGGAGAAGTCTCCAAAGCCAAAGGACGCTAGGAACCACTTCCCACTTGGGGATGCACAGGCCCACCTACAGGGCCACACCTTGAACTACGGAGGGTAAACATCAGCAACCTCCTTGAATGGTCCAATTCTACAGAGTCCCACAGCAGGACCAAGCGCAAGTCCCCAAAGGTAAGAACCCCTGCAGTCCCAGCCGTGGACCCACGGCACGATACTTGAACTTCCTTCTCCCACACAGGCAAGACAGTCTTGAGCAGGTACAGAGATGACTTCGAAAGAACACTGGTGTCATACGAGTAGGTTCAAGTTTTGGTTCCATCGCATGGGAGCTGTGGAGCCTAGGCCACGACTTTAACCTTTCCTCTGGTCAAGCAGTGGGAAAAGGGTCAGATTAGCTTCTTTCAGAGATCCTTCTGATGTCCAAGATGCTGTGAGCCCCAAGCCTTGGTTTCCTCAACTGTCAAATGAGACCACCTGATCTCAGCTCCAAGACAGTTGTTTGTACTTTCCAACTTTTATGTTAAATCTAAATGTGGTGGCCGGGCAAGAAGGAAATGTGAGAGAAAAGTACCAAGACCTCTGCTAGGGCTTCTTCAAGTTGAAGTTCAGAGATGCTAGTTTAGGGGCCAGCGTTGTAGCACAGTAGGTTAAACCTCTGCTTGTGACGCCAGTATCCCATATGTGCACAGGTTCAAGACCCAGCTGCCATACTTCCAATCCATCTCCCTGATAATGCTCCTGGGAAAGCAGTGGAAGATGGCCCAAGTATTTGGGCCCTACACCCACATGCGAGACCCAGAAGAAGCTCCAGGCTCCTTGCTTCAGATTGGCCTAGTTTCAGCCGTTGCAGCCATTTGGGGAGTGAACCACCAGATGGAAGATCTGTCTCTCCCAGTTTGTGTTACTCTGCCTTTCAAATAAATAAATAAATCTTAAAAAAAAATTCTGTTTCAGAGTATGAGTAGAAAAGAGACTTCTCTTTATTTAATGGAATACTGGGCCTTTTACTATAATTAAATTAAAATATGTTGTCTCAAAGATTTTTTTTTAAAAAAGAGAGGATGAAAGATGTATAAACTACATCAAATCTGTTCTCTTTATATCAAAAACTTAGAGATAAAATAGAGTTCTCCAGCACATAATTTAATCTTGGTTTCATTAGATAAGAATTATCGGCAAAGGAAAAATATTTTTAATTATCACTGAGATGGTAATCTAGCCAAGCCATCAGGCTAAGAAAGCAATGTAGTAAGCAAATTAACTGTGTTTCTTCTCACCCTGCAGAATTCTGGAGTTAATCTAAGAACATTCAGGATGGGAAAATAAGCATGCAGTGAACACTTACTAACAATGACTGTGGGCGTGCCCTGGGTACAGGAAAGGAAGGTTTCTCTACCCATCCTTCCTCATATGGCTGTGACCTTTTGTCCTTGTCTAAAGAGCTGTGTAGCTCCTCCAGTACAAGCTCTTCACAGGAATTTTGGCTTAAAAAACAGATGCCTTAGTCTGCACAGATTTTATGTTCTGTTTTTATTTAAATTCTTTGAAGAAAGCACTTTTTAGGGGCCAGTACTGTGATGTAGTGGGTTAAGGTGCTGCCTGCAGCATGGGCAGCCCATATGGCCACTGGTTCGAGTCCCGGTTGCTCCTCTTACAATCCAGCTCCCTGCTAATATACCTTGCAAAGCAATGGAAGATGGCCCAAGTTCCTGGGCCCCTGCATCCATGTGGGAGACCCGGATGAAGCTCCTGGCTCCTGGTTTTGGTCTGGCCTACCCCTGGCTGTTGTGGCCACTTAGAGAGTGAACCAGCAAATGGAAGACTTCTGTTTCTCTGCCTTTACCTCTCTTAACTTTCAATTAAATAAATAAAACACTTTAAAAATATTGTCAGAATGCAAATGTAAATAAAAATCAGTGCAAAACTTTGCCAACCCAAATACATGCAAAATGAAAACGTTTTTATTGTTCCATGTACTCTTGCAGTTAACGAGGACATAATGGTTAATCATATCAAGCACATGTCAGATATTGTCCCAATACTTCAAATTAATTATCTCTTGTATATGAAGGATCTTCAAAAAGTTCATGGGAAATGCATACTATGAAAAAGCTGTGCAAGAATTTCCAAATTTTTGCACCAAAACAAACATCTTTTGATGATATTTTCTGTGAATTTTTTGAAGTACTCTCTTATGCCCCTTTGTAATTTTAATGGCTATAATAGGGTATGGTAATTTTTAAAAATGGAGATAAAATTCACATAACATAACATTTATATTCTAATTAAATTTTTTTATTTAGTTGAGTGGCAGAGAGAAGAA